AATTATTTAAAAAACCTTTAGATTTAGACATTATAAATCTTATTAAAACAAACACTTATTTTGCTCAGAGAATCCAAAAATGCAATAATATATAGTGTATTTCATTTAGAAAAACACAACTTTGATACTTTTAAAGCTTTTGGGGCACTTTGTACATTACAAAAATATTTTTAAAATGCGTGCTCGGTAGGCGTCGGACAATCCATAAAATAATACTTTTTAAAAATCAAACGGTTTAGCCGCAAACGTCCGTGCCGTATAGCGTGAATAACCCTGTAGAAATGGAAGCAAATCGAAAACTGTGTCAGAATTGTTTCATGCTATATCATGAACTCCAAAAAATACGGGAACGACTAATTCGACGTTTCGCAGCGCCACCATCAGTAGTTGAACTCGTGAATAATCAAAATGCCACATTCAAATTTATTTGTAAAAACTGAAATAATTGCATTAATCGAAAAAGGATGGTCAACAAAAACAGTAGCTGAGAGATTTGGAAAAGCGAAGAGCACCATTTATAAAGAAATTAATTGTATATATGTATTTCACAAAGCCTGATTTACCAATATCGGGAAAAATCGCCTTTAGGAGTCGTTTACTTTTACGTGTCGCCAACATACTTACGCATTTTACTCTATTAGTTGCTATCCATAGTGGTTGGAAGTTGACTGACCTGACCTAGCTGTCATAGATTTACCTAATGTTTAAAGAAAATAATTGTTGCTAATAAATGTTCGTAAACTGCAGACAACGTTGAAATATCCATTACTGATATTGCAATAGCCGCACAAGCTATTATGAATATAGCGAGTAATTGTTATATTTCAGTAAGTGTCTGCGTGTGTTGCAACTAAAAATGTTTTTTATTCACTCAGTGTTCGTTTTCATGTGTCTATTTCGTCTGATTTTCTGTAAAGCAGCGTTTTTAACAAGTTTTGGACTCTAGCCAAGGTTTTCCACATCGAGGCTACGATAACACTGTCTACCTAAGAATGCAAATTTGGAAACTACGCCGATATTGATGTTTTTCCACTGGAGAAATAAAAAGCGTGATGTTTTTAATAGTTCACCAACTGCAGCTGGAGAGAATTGCCACAAAACCACCAGTACCACACCTTACAGGAGATAAAGATGGTCGCACTGTGTTGATTGACTAACTCGAAGTTATCATCAGAATGTTTGCAATAATTGCAGATAATTTAGGCAGTTTCCTAAATTTGAATTCAAAAATTCACCAAATTATTCTGATAAGAACACAACAGCAGCAATAAGCCAGTTATAAGCGCTCATGCCACCGGCAAAAGGCAATTCTGCTGCTGAACCTGCTGTAAATATCATCAACATTTATACGACGTTTATTTTCAATTTTATTGAGTTGAACGTTATTGTGGTTCAACTGATACCTTTGCTGCTGCTCTCATAGACTCTAGACGGTCTACACTCTAGGGCAAGGGTTCCCAAACTTTTTCGATCGAATTTAATGCACCATTAGGCATTTTTTCCGCCCAATAAGCTGATAAGGAAATAGAAAATATACCTTCGTCTTCAACTAAAATCATCAACATCGACCGATTTTTCTCTGAAAGATTGAGAGCTTCGACCGAATTCAGACCTGTCGAATTTTAGTGCACTTTTTCAAGTTGTTTCTCGCCAATTATTTCATATACCTAGCGGTTGTTTTCGGATGAATTGTTTGCGGTTGATCCAACGGATCTAGATTATATTACTTTTTACTATTTAGTCTTACTATTATTTAGTCTACTTACTATTTGGTCACAAATGGGCGTGGGAGTACACCAGTTAAGGTCAGTGGGTCTGCTGCATAATTACGCCTTTACTCATGTCCTTGCTCACGTAAATTTCATATAGAATTATGTAAGTTGTCAGCCATCACCAAAGGACCATACAGACTTAGCTGAGTTAAATTATTTTGTATTGTTGAAAATAGGCTTGCCAGGTTTTGTTGAAAAAATGCATTCATTTTTGAGGCCGTAGCAGTAACGATTTTATTTCATTGATAAAATTCTAAATATGTGTAGGGGCGTTCGTTTTTTATGTTATCGTTATGGGAATCATTAAAACATGTCAAAATCAGCTACAAGCGCCAAACGTGCCTCAAACAAGGAGCGACTCACCTAGAGTGCATCACTTGGAGTCAGCAGTTATCTACCTATAACTTAATTT